CTTCATTGTAAGAATTATATTTGTATAAATTCTTCGTCAAAGTTTTAATCTAAACATTAACTTTTCATTGCTCAAAATCAGGTTTGACAACCTTCATTCGTAAACTGTGATCATTTCCAACAATTGACATGTACAGTTGATATAAATACATTTTATTTAATTTATATGATATTTATAAAAACAAAGGAATGAGATACGCACAACTTGTGATGGGACCAGCTGGTAGTGGAAAGGTATTATACTTTTTATCTTAACTTATAAAATTTAGTTTAAGATATAACCTTTCAATTTAAAATATAACCATGTATAAACAGTTCTGAACAAATTTTAAACATGCAATAAAATTAAAAATAAGAAAATTACGATTGATATAATTATTAAGCAATATACATATTTTTTTTACTAAATATTTTAACTTATATTATAAATTAATGTATAATTATTTTTTTACATAGTCCACTTACTGTTCTGCTATTCAACAACATGCAGCCAGTGAAAACAAAGTAATAGAAGTAGTAAATTTAGATCCAGCAGCAGAATATTTTGATTATAACCCCTTAGTTGATATAAGAGAATTAGTACAGTTAGATGATGTTATGGAAGATGATGAATTGCGATTTGGACCGAATGGTGGGCTTATATTCTGTATGGAGTAAGTTTATAAAATGATTTTACTTTGTTTAAAAATTGTAGCGAAATTTATATTTATAGTAAAATTTTATTTTTGTTATAGGTATATAATAGAAAACTCATCGTGGTTAGAAGAAAAATTAGGCGATGTGGATGACGATTATATTATCTTCGATTGTCCAGGACAAATTGAATTATATACACATATGACAAGCGTTCGTCAATTAATAACTATGTTACAAAATCTCAATTTTCGTATATGTGGAGTATTTTTGATTGATAGTCAATTTATGATTGATGGATCAAAGTTTTTATCAGGTACAATGGCTGCACTTAGTGTGATGATCAATTTAGAATTACCACATATTAATATTCTTAGCAAAATGGATTTATTATCAAAAAGTGCAAAAAAGCAACTAGATAAATATTTAGAGCCTGATCCATACAGTTTATTAGCAGACATGGAAAAAGATCCTTGGAATGAAAAATACAGAAACCTTTCTGAAGCAATAGGAAGGCTTATAGAGGACTATAGTTTAGTGCGTTTTTATCCATTAAATATAAAAGACGAAGAAAATATGGCAGATATTAAACTGACGATAGACAATATCATTCAGTATGGAGAAGATGCTGATGTTAAGATTAGAGATTTTGATGAACCTACTGAAGATGATGATAAAGATATAAATTATGATATAAATACATAAAAGTAGCTTGACTAAATAAAGTATTTTTATCAAACATTCTTTGCAATTTATTTTCTAACACCAACGAAATCAAAACAAGATAAAATAGAAAGAATTTACTTCATTAATTTAATTATCATTAGCTTACGAAAATATCTGTACATGGAAATGATAGAATATTTACAGCATAAAATTCATCGTTCTAAATGTGCATTTATCGTATTAAACACGAACATTAGGCATCCAAATGCCAATGTTGATCCATGAGCAACAATAGCACTTCCTTCCCATCCTTCTTCTAAGTGATGTTTATCTTTTGTCTCCAGTCTTGTTAAATTACATTTACATAATACTCTTTTATTCTCTGCTTGTTCTTGAATTAAAACCTTTTCTCTTATTATAGATTTCACTGCTTCTGTAGTTTCCTGTTCCTTAGTCATGGATTGCAATTTCTCGTCAGCTTCTTCTTTTACTTGTTCTATCACGCTTGTATAGTTACAAGAATACAATACATTATCAACCACTGTTCCATATTCACTATAGTTTAATAATTCATAACGTTTGGTACTCTGTAAATAAAATAATATTAAGTAAAATAGTATACAATATTTAATGAAAATAATATTAAAATAGTTAATAATTACCTCGTCAAAAAAAATAATAGCGTGTTTTGAAGATGTAAAGCTACAGTTACCATAATTAGATAAAACTAAATCACAATTTGGGCCACTTCCAATAATTAGTGTTTTATGAATCATAAAAGCTGGTGGTTTAGGTTTGCGATTTAAAGAAAACAATGCCGCTCTAGCCTTTGTTTGACAATTAATAGTTTCATAATTTTCTCCATCAGGGTCTAAAATTTGTTCTAATCGTTGTAATGCTAATGCCTCTAAAACTGGTCTTTCAAGTAACTGTATACCTTCTTTTATATCATAGCCAAATCGTTCTACATAGCTCTCAGTACCAATATCATTACTATATCTATTTTCGGTTACATTTTCTTGTTCTACTGTCTCCTCACATTTCGTATTACTTGTTTCTTCTTGATTAAGTTTATCCTTTATTTCATTGTTATCCTCAATTTCCTTCTCTACTTCCATTGATTCTTCCATTTTTTGTACTTCTGTATTTTCTTTCTCTATTTTAGGAAGTTTGATATCATTATTTTCTATATCTTGCACTTTAATATTCTTAACAACTGGTTTTATAACAGCATCATGATAAAATTGTATAGAATCTAATTCTGGTGGATGTTCATAATGAAATTTTACAGACCAGGGTACCTTTACTCTTGTCCGACCTTCTAATTTGATTTTTGTCCGAAAAAGTGGATTTGTAGCACGTGCTTTACGTAAAAAATCTAATTTTACTGCATGTTGATCTATACGTTGATTGGCATATTTATCCCAAAGCTTAATACGTTCAGTCACTCTACACGATGTTAATAAATTTTGATCTATGAAATGATTTGGATGATTGGGACACATCCATCTTCCAATGGGAAAAGCAGTGAGTGGTGGATCCAAACAATCTTGATGAAAATATAATGGACAGTAATCACATGCAATTAATGGTGCTTTTCTGCAACTACGGCCGCATTCAAAACATAAACGTGCTGGTAAAGGTACCATTAAATTATTATCTAAACAGTGACTTTTCCCCACTGAAAAGAAACATCTTATAATTGAAAATAAATTATGTAACAAGAAACCCATAAAAATAATATATATACCATTATTAGTTCCACTTTGTTGTTTTCCTCTTCTACCTGAAACATAATCTACTTTATTACTACCAGGGAACATAATTGGTAATTGCAATTCTTTAGGTAATTCAAATTCCCTGGGATTAACTAAAGATGCTGCCAAAGCTAACACTTCCAACGCAGATTTTTTTTTGTTTTTCTCATTTCCTTTAGTATCTAAAAGATTCCTTTTTGATGCACATCGACAAGCATAACACAACCATTCTCCATTAGGAATATCTGCTGGATCCACTGCTGGATAACTATAAATGATTATACAAGAATTTAATTCAAGCAAAAAATTTGGATTTAGTAACTATCGTTAACATATAAATATATAATAAACAAAAAATATTAAATTTCTCTCATTTTGAAATGTCCAAACTCACTGGCATTGCAAGTGATATGATGCAGGACATTTATCACAACAAATAAGTTCTCCTCCATCTCGACAGGCATCACAAATATCACGATTGTGTCCCCGTCCTCTTCTTTTAAAATACGGATGCTTTTTCTCCTCCTTATCCTTTTTATTTTTTGCTGTTTTAGAATCTTCCGATACAGGTGGTGCTATAAGAGCTTGAATTTGCTAGTAATACAAAAATCAATTATATATACAGGAAATACATAAAATATATAAATGTATTTAGGAAAATTATTAAATATAATACAATTTTTCATACATAAACGAATTATATTTCTTTTTTACTTACTGGCATTAAACCACCGATCATTGGAAAACCATATTCTACAGTACCCATTTTGAAATTAATTCTTAATTCTTGAATTCTTAATTCTTAAAATTTTTCTATTAGCCATGTAACATTTGTTTAATTATAAATCATACATCTACCTTCCCTTTTCATTTTTCATATCTAAATTGGTTATGTGTAAAACTTAGAAAAACAAAATATTAGATTTATACACTTAATCCTTAGAAGATACTGGAGATTGTGCTGTCCCCTGTATATGAATTCAAACTTTTAAAGGAGATTTATACAAATTTTTTGATATATACTATATACATTTATCATTTTATATCTCGTTTTCGACATAAATATAAATATTTTACACATTCATATTTTCGTACTATTATTCTTACAAAATAACTGAAACGTTTTCTTGAAAACATACACTTGAAACGTTCAAAACTGAAGTATCTGTACTGTTATACTTATTTCTACATGCTTACTATACTTCTTCTTACATATTATATGCTTCTTATTATACTACATACTAGTATATGGACTATAATATATAATATATAGTACATAGTATATAGTATGTAGTATATAACACACATCATATACTTCTTTTAGAAAGATGATGTTTATATCTATAGGAAATAATAAATTATTGCATTAGATCTTTCCACAAAAATTGATACATCAACACAATATAAAATTACTTAATATATTATTCTCTCTTTAATTTTATTTGTAATCAAATAAGAATAGTAATAAATATTACAATACAAAACAATATTAATAGGACATCGATAAATTTATACATGTATATGAAAAAAAATTTATTAAGATCATATACACGTATAAATTAATTAGAAATTGATGGGATTGAAGTTTTTTAATTAACTAGTAATGAAATATTTACCAATATTTTACCATATCATGTAATAAATTATTATTTCTTTTTGTCATTTTAATTAAACTGAACTTAAATTTGAATATTATGAAAAATATTGCCTATTGCGCCATTAATTGTATTGGTCCATTGAGTGAGAAGTTTACTACTTAACCTATATCTATTATTTGTGAGATTGTCTTGAAATATTTAAAGAATTTGAGATTTAAACAAAAAAAATGTAGATATATATGCATTGTATTCGTATTTGAATAAAAAAAATTATCAAAATATCTAAAGATTTTATAAATTTGCATAGAAATTATACAAAATCTAATTATATAAAATCCTAAAATGTTTCGAACATTTATCAACATTTCAATTAAAAGACAAATACATGGGAATGCAGAGATAGTAGAAAATTGCAAGGAAATCAGAAATCGCAATCCACGAAATTTAGAACGTTTAAGAATTGCGAGAAAAGCTATAGGTTATGTTCTTGACAAACGTGAACATGGATATTGGCATAAGTAAGATTATAATTCTGATATAATTTTTTCCTGTCATAACATTAACGGTATATTATTCTAAATTTTAAGATGTCACTTTAATATTTTATTTGTCTAATAGATTGAATGTATCTCCTAGTAAACGTTATATCATGGCAGAAATTTGTCATTTTGAAAATGGTCAAATTATTACAGCATCAAGTAAAGAATGGGGATTGAAAAAACAACTATATAGGTTTGTATGTGTTATAAATGTAATTACTTGAAATATCAACTAGTAAAAAATAATGACAAAGATCCGTGGTAATAGATTATCTGACTAGCTTATGAAAACTTTGAAATAGATAATAGCTATATTTATTATATACTATTATATAACTATAACTATATATATACTTTTAATTTTATTAAATTAATTTTTAAAATTCAAAATACGAAGTATCATACAAATTATGTTTTAGTACAACTGATATCATAGCATATAAGTTTGTTGGACAATTACTTGCACAACGTTGTTTAGAAAGTGGTATATCAGAAATTTATATAGATAAAGCATTTTTGACTGCTGGAAATAAAGTTCAAGCATTAATAAATACAATGGTAGAGAATGGAATTTGTATAGAAGAACCAGAAAGGTATAAACATCCAAAACCTAATTCTTGGAATTATCCAGAAAAACCTTGGGAAACATATGAATAGTTTGATATAAATATTGTAAAAGTATTATTAAAACTATGATATAACAATAAATATATAATACACAATTTGTGTCTTATGTATTATTTATTTTGAGTTACGTATTTCATACATTACAGTCTGTAATTTGAGCAAACTAAAAAAACTACAATAATTTTAAAATTTTAATCTTTTGAATTTTATTTTTTAAAGTTTTGAAGAAATTTGAGAAAGGACATTAAAACACAAATATCTTTTAAATGGAACAAAGATTTTATTTCAATATTATTTGTCTTTATTGTTCAAGCACTTCTATTAGTTATAATGCAAGTTTGTACAGAATAGATTATACAAAGATAGAAATAAATAATAATCATATTAATATTAAATAAAATTTAATTTACGACAAATATAATAAACTTACTGTACTCAATAATATTACATAAGTACATATGCAACTGTGCAGGATTTATTATTACTAATCTTATAAAGTAAATTAATACTATATATTAGGCTGACTTATTTTGTGCGCTAATAAAATTATTTCTTTCCAAATATATTATACTAATAATTATAATTGTAATAATTATAATAGTTATAATTGTAAATAACAAAGTAAAATATCTAAATGGTTCGGAAAATTTATGAAGTTTTCTATTTTTTATTTCTATTTATGAAATCACAGATCACAAGTCATTTATGAATCTTAATTTGGTCGAATTAACGTTATAAACAATTGCATAAAAATTTATAATTCTTATTTTTACTTTGTTACTGGATTTCACAAGGTGCACTTATATTTATTGAGACTTTGTAGAAAATCCTGCACATATAGAAAAATAAATTTATATATTACATCTTAAATGATAATAATACTTTAATCTAAAAATTAAAATTAAAATTTTGAATACTGATGATACTACATGTATTATTGTAGAAAAGTATTTATATATGTATTGTAAGGGGAAAATTTTTAATCATTCAGTTATTTTCAGAATTTTTAAGAGCTATTTGCATTCAATTTCAAACTTGTATTTAATTTTCATCAGAAAAATCCATGGTAGCATAAAATAAAAAATTCGCGTGTATTGAGATAAATGTGATACATGAAATTTTTTAAATGATGATAACAACGAGTAAGCATTTCAGTAAAATAAAATATTTTGCTAAACGTGCTTGTTTTAATTTTAAGTGTATATACACAGCGTTATATTCCTTGATAATTTATGTCTGTCTGAAATATGAGAAGAGAACATATCGCGTGAAAGGTACATACAAATTTTCCTTTACGAAAGTATCAAATAAGATTGATCGAAATTTTATTTGCAAGTATGAATGTCTACGCTTTTAACACAAGTTTTGCATTCAACGTAGCAACACCAATGAAATCTGCACTCGCATCGTTCTCTAATTGTTGTTTTCTGTGTGTTGTATCCTCGACCGCAGCAAAGAAGATTACATCCATCCATACCGGATGACGTTCTGTTGCAAATTCTCCCGTGTGTACCTAATAAAGATTCACTCTCTTTAAAGGAAGAAATTTTATAAACAACATAGTATATAATTCGTATGTAATTTTTTTTTTTTTTTTTTTTTT